TGGTTTAATCATGATCATGTTAATGCACACCAGTAGCTAATTAAAGAAAACTTTTATTGTTCATCTTAAATAAGTTAGGTAAAGAGTGGGAGAGCTGATGTAACAGCACTGCCCAGAGATACATGTTTCTGCTGCACCAACAGCAAGCAGATACTGCAATTTTTGACAACTTAAATTATTAGTCCCCTCGGACAATAATAAAGCAAAAGTTACTTTCAGAGTTATTACATTGTGAACTCTTCGTTTTCCACAAAGGAATAGTAAATTGATGCCCAAGTTTAGGGCCCAGCACACATAATTCATTAAAAACTTTTCTCAGTAGTGGGCCAGATACCCTTCAATGTAATAAATCTGCAGTGAACTGGTGACAAACCAGTGGATTTTTAAATATGTCTCAAAATCATCAGCTTGTTTATTTCAGTGCTACAGATAGTTTAGAGGCTTAAAAAATTTGAGGAAATCCTGGCTTTTAACTCAGTTTTAGGAATCTAGTTTTCTAGTACTGGGTAAGTTGTACTTTTTCCTTTCCTTCCAATGGAAGTCAGAGTCTTTCATCTCTAGGTCATTGGTTCAAATTCCATTCTGCTCAGTAGTGATTAGAATTAGTTACCATCTGACTTCTGTTCAGTAACCTTTGTGACCTGAACTGATAGCTGCCATCCTGCCACTGCTGGTTATTTATATCTTAAGATCACACCACTTGACATTTGCTGGAGACTAATGTGGCAGTCTCAGCACGTAATATAGGCTGGATGCTAAATTTCTTTACCTTTCTCTACAGGTGGTTTGCCATTTTATGTTAACACCTATGGGAACACTTAATCCACTTTAAAGAGGGAGAGAGTTGATTTTAAGTATAAATCTGTAAATCAGAAGTAAAAAATGCTATATGCATAGAAACTATAGTTTCATGTAGTTAATTGTGTTTAACTTTCTTGATTCAGAGAATGAAAATAGCTTATAAAACTTGAGTTCTTGATTGGAGTTTGCCATTGGAACTCAACCTAAAGGATTTTTTAGTTATACTGTATTTAGGTATTTAGTTTGTAATGCCTCAAAATGTGCTTGATTTCGCATTTGACTACTTAAGTACTTGATTTCATTACTTTTCACATGTTATTTGAGAATTCCTAGTTGGTAATAGATTTGGAGGTCTATTTGAAATTTTCATAATAAGGATAACTAACATTAAACTGCTATTTTGATAACAATTATCTTTATTTTTATCTTACTGAATTTTTAAATATGTTCATTCATTTATTCAGTCAGCACACAATTATTAAGTTTTATTATGTGATAAGCACTAAAGTATGTTCTAGGAATACTAACATGATGTTTCCTCTTACCCAAATCCTACTAGCTGTCTGACCTTGGAACTATTGATCAATCTCTATAAACCTCAATTTTCTCAGCTGTAAAATGGGGATAATAGTACTCCTCCTCAAATAATTATAATGTTAGCTTATATAATGTGCTAACAGTGTCTGGCAAATAATAAATGAACTCAACGGTATTTTATTTTTCTTCAATTGCTCACAATCCCTGAGACAGAATATAGTGTGAAAAGTACTATAATATTAGTTTGTCATAAAAGCATAGAAGTGGGAAAGACTAGCACCACCTGGAAGCGTTGCTGAAGTCTTCACAAAGAAGATAAATTTTTTAACTTACCCTTTTTAGAGTGCCTACTGTGTTTGTTCAATATGTTAATTAATTTTATGCTGCAGCAACCCTATGAGTTAGATATTAATGTCCCAATGTGAGGACAAAGACAGAAGAGATAGAGAGGATTCTTTGAAGTATGATCAGCCCACAAGGTAGAGAATGCAGATCAGGAAAGACACTATGAATAAATATGTCTGGGAAAGACCTTGAGGAGTACAGTATTGAGAATTCTCCATCTACGTTTATTTATATCGTAACAATCATGTAACTCTAGTCTGCTGGGCAATTTTTTCATTTAATGTTGTATCAAAGATAAACATATCCAACATTCATGGATTCTCTTCATTGTGCTAGGCACTGTCCTGCTCCTTAGTGATATATAGAAGCGGAATTGTATACTACATTCCCTCTAACAGTTCTTCACCTGGTAAAAGAGACAAACACGTAACAGCTGCTCATTATTGGGTATTTACTGTAAGGCAGGCACTGTGCTGTTAATTCAGTCATCGTAGTAACTCTGAGGTAGGAGTTATTATCCTCATTTTACAAATGATATTATATAGCCTTAGAGAGATTTGTAATTTGTTCAGAGTCATTAGTTAGAGAGTTAGAGAGTGTTGGACTTGATCCCACATCTGTGTGACTTCAAAGCCTATGTATTGTCTTAATGCTGTCTGATACTGTTACCACGAAACATTTTAGTAAAATATACCATATAATAGAAGTATAAGTGAACTACTAAGATCACCAAGAAGGAAAAGAGTGAAAGAACAGTTCTCGGACAAATGTCATTTATCGTGATGGATAACTAAATGTTCACTAGCTACAGCAAGCTCAGAGGGGCGCTCCAGGAAGGAAAAGAGCACAGTATAAACTGCATGGTTTGAAAGAATATGGTGTCTTCAAAGGACAGAAACAAGTCCTTTTTTAATGAGGATTACCTCACTTTCTTGGATTATTTATCAGTTCTTATATATATAAGTTATTGCATATATATTATTTCTTATATATAAATATATATTTTTTTACCAATCAAATTAAGGAGTTTTTAAAATAATAAGCAGCTTTGGGAGGCTGAGACAGGAGGATTGCTTGAGGCCAGGAGTTTGGACCAAGTTGGGCTACACTATGAGACCTCATTTCTACAAACAATGTAAAAATACGCCAGGAATGGTGGTGCATGCCTGTAATCCTAGCTCCTCAGAAACGGGAGGATTGCTTGAGCCACCACTGAGGGGTTGTAGGTTTCAGTGAGCTATGATCACGCCACTGCATTCCAGCCTGGGCAACAGAACAAGATTCTGTCTTTAAAAATAGTAATAATAATAATAAGCAATACCCAGTTACCCAGTAGTTTGGGAGACATTTTTTTATTGCTGATAGTAATGTAACTGAGTGCAGCCTTTTTGGATACGTGTTGGACAATAGTAACTTTTAACTTTTTCAAACCATTTGCCTAATAATTCAATTTTTTTTTTTTTTTTTTTTTTTTTTGAGATGGAGTCTCGCTCTGTCGCTTAGGCTGGAGTGCTGTGGTGGGATCTCGGCTCACTGCATGCTCTGCCTCCTGGGTTCACACCATTCTTCTGCCTTAGCCTCCCAAGTAGCTGGGATTACAGGCGCCCGCCACCACGCCCGGCTAATTTTTTGTATTTTTAGTAGAGACGGAGTTTCACCATGTTAGCCAGGATGGTCTCGATCTCCTGACCTCGTGATCCGCCTGCCTCGGCCTCCCAGCATGTTGGGATTACAGGTGTGAGCCACTGCACCCAGCCTCCACTTTAAAAAAAAATTTTTTTTTTTTTTTTTTGTCTTTGAAATAGGGTCTCACTCTGTCACCCAAGCTGGAGTGCCATGGCATGATCACAGTTCACTGCAACCTCCACCTCCCAGGCTCAAGCCATCAGCTTCCTAAATAGCCGGGACCATAGGGGCACACCATCAGGCCTAGCTAATTCTTCATATGTTTTTGTAGCGATAGGGTTTTATCATGTTGCCCAGGCTGGTCTTGAACCCCTGGACTCAAGCAGTCTTCCCACATCAGCCTCCGAAAGTGCTAGGATTACAAGTGTGAATAACTGTATCTGACCTAATAATTTCACTTCTAGGAGCCTGTCTGTCCTGAGAAAATATTACTAGGTGTTTGTCAGCACTAATTGAAAGCTTGAATATACAGTTATATGTGAATGGTAGAACAAATTGTTCCTAACACTAAATGAAGTATTATGTAGCTTTTAAAAATTATATTTATGAAGAGTACATTAGCATGTCAAAATTTGAGTTATCAGTTTGTCCCTATGGTATCATTATAACCACAAAGGGATACAGGTGAAGGGAACCTGTGCATAGGTAGGTAAAAAAGACTGAAAGGAAGAGCCATGAAATATTACTATTGGTTATGTTTGGAGATAAGATGGGGTGAGGTAGTTTTTTTATTCTTATGGATTTTTTTTATGGTTACCTTAATAATTCTGTTGAAAAAGCAAGTAAAATATCTAGGTGCAGAATAGCAAGTTGCAGACTGATGGTCAGGCAGTCTAAGAAAGAGGAACTGATGGTCTTGGAGCCAAGTGATTATAACTGCTGCTGCCACCAAGTTGCTCTTTGTTCTCTACTTAGGGACTCATTGGTGGAAAATTTTGAGAACTAGTAGCCTTTATTGCACAAAGGAAAAATCAACCCTCAAGGGTTTTAATTACTTAATTACTGACTTGATTTTACTTTATCACTTATATTTGTCCTTGTTTTAAGTCCTATTGTAGTAGAAGAAAATAAACATCTTTTGAAATGGCATGCATTTATTTTAGTGTACTTTTCTTTGTCCTTCATAATTTAGGACTACTGATTTTTCCCTTTCTTACTGTCTAAAAACCTATAAATCAGTTTTATAAGAAAGGTAAGGAATATAGTAGAAACTACTTCTACATAAAATATAATTTCAACCACCAGTAATCATGATTTTGGAGACAGTTTATTGTATTGCTTGGGAAATCACTATAAAAATATGTATTAAAATAATTCTTTAAAGAGACATTTTAAAAGATATATGCTATTCTGTAGTAATCCAAAGAAAGAAGATCTGACATTCAAAAATGTATTTTAATGATGGAAATGAACATTAGATGCTTTTTCTCAAGTATTTCCTTGGCATTTTAAGGTGATTTGGGGGGTCTGGTGTAGGAAATGGGCACCTATTCTGTTTTTTTGATTACTGTTTTAAGTTATACTAGACTCATTTTTAAAATTTTCTTTTTGACAACATGTTTATATAACATTTTTTATATGACAATTGGCATGTAACTAGTTTGAAATGTTTTATTACTTTTTTCTTACAGATCTCTAAACAAGAACAGAAAAAAGTGGATACATTTGATGGAGGCATGGCTGAAACCTCATCTCGGTACAGTGGTGCTCAGGATAGTGGAATTGGCAGTGACAGTGTTAAAATCAGAATAGTGCAAATAGAGCAGCACAGTGGTGCCAGCCAGCATCGCATTGCCCGTCCCTCACGCCAATCATCAATTGTAAAAAATCTAAATTTTATTCCCTTTGACATATTTATTACTGCAAGTAGAATCTCACTAATGACCTACTCCTGTATGGCCTTATCCAAATCGAAATCACAAGAACAGAAGGATAATGAAAAAACAGACAAGAGTTCATTAAATCTCCCAGAAGTTGATTCAGATGTTGCTAAGCCCAACCAGGCATGTATTTCCACAGTGACAGCAGAAGATCTCTTAAGGAGCAGCATTTCTTTTCCTTCAGGGAAAAAAATAGGGGTCCTCTCTCTTGAAAGTATTCATGCATCCACAAGGTCATCTGCTAGACAAGCACTTGGTATAACTATTGTTCGGCAGCCTGGTCGAAGAGGAACTGGTGACTTACAGCTAGAACCTTTTCTGTACTTTATTGTGTCCCAGCCTTCCTTGCTTCTGAGTTGTCACCACAGAAAGCAGCGAGTGGAAGTATCCATTTTTGATGCTGTGCTTAAAGGGGTGGCCTCTGATTACAAATGTACAGGTAAGAACCTTCAAACTTACTGAAGTGCTAATAATTACTATCTAATAAGTTGTACTCCCATAGTTTCCAGATTGATTAAACAGAAACAGCTGACAGACAAAACTTCTTTTCTCTACAGAATATGTAAAGTTCATGTTCCATAGCTGAATCCTGTTTAAATATTTGAAATGTATTGAGGTTTAGCCTTAGTATTCTTACTATGCCTCTGAATATCATTTTTTTCTTCCGGGAACTGAATGAAACAGGGATTCTCTTGACTATAGAGATGCTTAACGATTTCCAGTGTTTGGAAAGCATAGCTCGGTTTCATATTAATGGCCCATAGGTATACTTTCCATGTTAATGCTTCTATTCAGATTAAAAAAGAAAAGCCTTAGAAGATGAAGTTTGTTTTTGGTATTCTTTTGATGCAATAGCGTCATATTAAATGTAATTGAGAAGGTTTATTAATAAAGATTATTTAAAGATTTTTGTACATCTACAGAAAGTATATTGATGTTGGCTAATTCGCTCTTGCTGCCCAACCCATCCCTTCCTTATTCTAATTATAATAATTATATGAAATTTCCGAAGCTTTTTGCCTGTTGAGACTACGAAAGTGAGCAGGGTTCAGATGTAAGACATACAAGCTATTAAGTAACAAGGGCCAGTGGAGTCAAGCAAGGTGACAATATACCTTTTCCCTCAGTTAATGTAGATTTGGAGATTTGACCAAAAAGAAAAACTGGAGAGAGTAACTGGGTCACCTAAGATTCAGTATTCAAAGAGGCCCTCTAGCAAGCTCAGGTATAGTTCAGGCATTTTATTGCTTTCAGCTGGTCCCATCCAATAGGTGGAAGCCAGCAGTGAGGCATTTGGACAATGAATCTAATCTGGAATTCAGGTTTGTTCGTTCTTGCCATTAAGAAGGACTGTTATGCATGGCAGGATCCCGGAAGGTAGATGGCAGGTGTGGGAATCAGGATTCAGCCTGAGGAAATAGCATCAAAGGAGCTCTAGGCGAGGGTTTAGTGCAAGTCCCCTGCTTTAAGAAAGGGGTAACTAGCCAGTTGCTGAGGAGTAACCCCTGGGCTTCTTGCTGTCCCTCTCTCCTGTGCAGCTCATAATGGGTCAAAAGAGCTGATTGTTAGACTCAAGAACTTTGCAAGACAGTTGTTAAACCACTAGTAGCTTAAATTGGCCATGGTGAAAGTATTTATGCCACAGATGCTTGCAAATTCAATCATATCAGCTCTCCTACTCCAAGAGCCATTTGTTAAACCCTTACCAGCAACAACTGCCTCTCTTTCTCAAACATGTTCTCATTTACTGGATGCCTTTGATATAAAAGATACTTCAGCGGCACTGAAAATGTGGGAGATGCTGGTATAGTGGGACATGTTATGTGATTCAAGAACTCATGCCTGTATACCTGATACCTGCTTGCAAGTCTGCTTGGCATTAGCCAAAATTTAAGTGCAGGATTAGGAGATGAATTCTTAATTCTCAGCCCTTCATTAAGTTCACTCAGCTACAGTCGCTCTATAGGTGGGTGACCTGTGCTAAAAACATTGGGGGAGGCAGAGGAAAGTAGGAGGGGGAAAGGGGCTGAGAGGAACAGCTATGACCTCTTCCTAAATTTGTAGATATGCAGAGATCACAGAAGCCTCATTTTGCTTACTTCCAGCCCAACCTAAGGATACTCTGTATGTAACCTCAACCTTTGAAACTGTTAAACTGAGGCAAGCCAGGGTCCACAGTAATAGAAAAGAACTGCCAGTGATGGACTTGTTTCCACTTTCCGAAATTGTAAGAGCAGACTGGCTTAAATCTGTTTTATTGATATACTCCCAAATCATGTGTTTATACATTTTCATCTAAGTCTGTATTCAGCAAAGTTATAAGAGCTCATACCAAAGATAGACTTTTGGATTATAATCAATTCCTAGGTTAAAATAATAGAGCACTTCTTGCTTAAAGGGGGGAAAAAACCTTGTATGTAAACTGACATGGAACCCAATCTTGGTACATGAAGCTAGAGTGGTGGTCATGGGCCAGATTTAATATAGGGGTTGGGGGTAAATGTAGGAGGAAGAAGACTCACATACCTTCTAAGGAGCATTTTCTGCATAATATTCTCATGGTTGCCTTTCCCTACACAGAATGCATCTACTTGGACATTTATATTATCTCAATAGTATGACTGTTGGTTAGTAATAATCAAAAGTTATCAATATGCATGATAATATTTCTTAAAAGTGAACTTAGTGATCTAGGGAAATTTTTTTCAGAAGACCCAAAAGAAGGCAAGTAATTAAAATACAATGGCTAAAAATAAAATTCAGCTAGCATTTATTGAGTGATCACCCTGTGCCAGGCATTGTACTAACTGCTTTAATGCGTTATCTTATTTCATCCTAATGACAACTCTATGGGAAATGTTCTATTCTTAGAGATTAGGAAACTAAGCTTTAGAGAAGTTAAGTAACTTCCCCAAGGACACAGACCTAGCAGTAAACAGAGCTACAATTCAAAGCTAAGAAGTGTTGGACTCCTGAGTCTAGACTCTCAACCTCTATGGGTCCCCTGAAAAGAAGGATGTGAATTGGAGGTTCTTGCAGTCAGCCTGTATTGTCCCACTTACCATGCAAATGATTCCTCTCTTAAGTTTTAACTGGTGAATTTGTATGTTAACTGGGTCCATGCTGTGATTACACAGTACTCAGGTATGGAAACCCTGGGTTCCAATTCTGTCACTTATATGTATACCTATATCATTACGCACTTATGAAAATGAAAAGAGATAATTCATGAATAATTCTAAAGTACTTAGCATTGAGCCAGCAGGCCTAGGCCCTCATAAATGTGTGCTGGTACTATTTTAGCTGTCAATATCATATAGTGGAAAGAATACTTAACTGGGAGGCAGAAAACCTGGGATTTTTATTCATGGCCCTGCCATCAATTAGTAAAGTGATCTTAGGCAGTTTACTTCTTTGACTTTCTGTTTTCTTATCTGTAAAATGTGATGATTATAATAGATATCAACAAAATCCATTCCAGTTCTGAAGTTTCATCATTCTGTAATTTGGAATTCTGTAATTTGGCTTTGGCTTCAGGGAGTTGATATCTGTAAGGCTCTACAATATCAGGTAGAAATTTATTTTGACTTGTTTTGAAGATGCAGATTTCCTTTGATATTCTAGTGGAGCACTAATTACTTTATGCCGAGTTTTAAATACATAAGTTTTATTAAATGTTAATGAAATTTTTCAAAAACCGATCTGGAAATGTGTTTTATATGTGTCCACTTGAATGAATTGTCTAAGTCCCATTACCAATTTGGTTATTCAGAAACCCTTTATGTAGCACTTTCTTTCCTGAAAAAAGCACTGTTCCATAACCAGTGTTTTTTGGAAGCCCTGAGATAGTAACCTTATGGATAAGAAAAAAGAGAAAAATAGAAATGACTATAATGCTAACATTCATGGGGAGGGAAGCAGAGGGAGCAGTAAGTTGGGGGTGGCTAGCTCCATTTCTGCATTATAAAGTGAAGGAGTCATTGCAATGTCTTTAAATTGGAGGGACTAAAGAGATACTACCATGAAGCTAATGTTCTAAGAAATGTCCAGGAAAAGTTAAAGGCATCATAAGTTAAAAGTGAAAGAAGTAACATGTCATGTGTTTCCACAGTGTTCATACTTTTCCTCTGGATATTAAAATTCTTTTTGGCTGGGCATACTGTCTCACATTTGTAATCTCAGCACTTTGGGAGGCCAAAGTGGGTGGATCACTTGAGCTCAGGAGTCCAAGACTAGCCTAGACAACATAGTGAGACCCCATCTCTACAAAATTTACAAAAACTTAGCCAGTTGCAGTGGCGTGCATCTGTAGTCTGAGCTATCGGGGAGGCTGAGATGGGAGGATCACCTGAGCCTGGGAGGTTGAGGCTGCAATAAGTCGTGATTGCACCAACATACTGCAGCCTGGATGACAGAGTGAGATCCTGTCTCAAACACAAAATAATGTATTCTTTTCTATAAGGTAACTCAAGTGTCAACCAGCCAATAGCCATTTTAGCATATATGTATGATTGTATGATTTGGTTTGGATGTTTATCCCCTCCAAATCTCATCTTGAAATATGACTCTCAGTGTTGGAGATAAGGCCTGCTGGGTGGTATTTGGATTATGGGGGCAGATTCCTCACGAATGGCTTAGTACCATCCTTTTAGTGATAAGTGAGTTCTTGCTCTGAGTTCATGAAATATATAGTTGTTTAAAGAATGTGGCACCTCCCCGCTACCTTGCTCCCTCTCTCCCCATGTGATATACTGGCTTTCCCCTTTGCCTTCTGCCCTGATCATAGCTTTCTGAGGCCTGACCAGAAGCCAAGCAGATGTTAATGCCATGCTTGTACAGCCTGCAGAACCATAATCCAAATATATCTTTTTTCTTTGTAAATCACCGTCTCAGGTATTCTTTTATAGTAATGCAAAAATAGCCTAATATAATGGGCATCTCAATAATTGCCCCATTGTCACATTTCAAAAATACCTATGAGGTTGTTATAGAGATATTGGTTTTCTGGGTTTTGTTTTGAGAGGACAATAACATTTGATTATTTAAAAAAAAATCCTAGCACAATATGGCTTGTCATTGTTTATTGTTTTCTATACACGTCATAAACCATTATTATAGGTGCTCGTGTTCCTTTATATGTAAATCATACAGAGGAAAAAGAAAAAGGATTTTGTTTTACTCTTTAAAAAGATTTAATGGCTGGGCGTGGTGGCTCATACCTGTAATTCCAGCACATTGTGAGGCCGAGGCAGGCAGATCACCTGAGGTCAGGAGTTCGAAACCAGCCTGGCAAACACGGTTAAACCCCGTTTCTACAAAAATATAAAAATTAGTTGGGCATGATGGTGAATGCCTGTAATACCAGCTACTTGGGAGGCTGAGGTGGAAGAATCACTTGAACCTAGGAGGCAGAGGTTGCAGTGAGCCGAGATCATGCCA